TTTACAGGGAGCCCCTCTCCTTAAAGCCCCAATGGGCTACATGCTCAGAGCCATTCAGAGGTTGTTTAATAGCCTCCTATCTGATTGCTCTGTCCCTAGGCCTCCACATTTCTCTGTCTGAACTGTTTACCTAAAAGCAGATCTCAATCTAAATGTTCCTCTTAACCTCCTAACCTTTCAGTAAATTCATTAATGTGCGCTTCTTAATTCAATTGATTATTTGTATTCCACTCAGCACCCCACCCCACCCCCCACTCCGGAAATGCTGTGTTTATTTTGTAAAAGCTGTGTGGTGGTTTTCATATGCCCCCTGCCTGCCTGTTCGATCCAGCTCTGGTCAGAGATGCAGAAAACAAGGCACCCGGACCCCAATTTATCTATGCAATCTAGGCAAGACCTGTTTGTTCCTGGCGAACACGTTTTTCAGGGGGAGAAACTCCTTCTTTCACAAAAGCTATTCCCACTGTAAACTTTTTTCCTTCTTCTGCCGAACATGCTCAGCGTCCTGAACTTGACGGTGGATCTCCTGTGGTTTCTGTTTACCTTTAGATGACCTTTTGATCTGGACTCACTGACGCCCTCCCATGGCGAGCAGTTCAGAGGTGCGTCACGCTGTTGCTGTCCATGGTATTGATGACCTCAGCTGAGCAGTACGCTTCAAAACAATCCAATCCAACTATATTACTGGCAAACAATGCTTGTGTATTTACCCGGTTTCTAATACAAATTCAGATCACAAAATTCTGTTTATATTGTGTTTGAGTGACTAAACGGAAGTATTAACACAAAGTATCAAGCTGGTTTGTTTGTTTAAGAAACACTGACACTCGTTTCAATTGGTAAAATACAGAAGTTGACAATAAATGTAGCATGTCATTTAAATCTTATGATATGACATGCATTTAAAGACTTTAATAACATGCTTTTACCAAAGAGAAGCATTATATTGTGTTATACTTTTGATACTTGATGCATTTCTTTCAGGGCTTTTCATGTCTGCCCAGAATGTTTTGAAAGAGTAATTCTAGGTTCCATTATTTATCTGCCAGAGCTTCTCTCAGCTCTTTGAATGTCTTGCACCAGCTATTAAGTCACACCTTTTTGTAGACCTTGAAGAGTGTTTGTGTGGGAAATTGTCGGGTGGGGTAGGGTGCTTAATTTTTAAGCGTGTGCATGTGCGAGCGATGCGTAGGGCATCTCTGTGGCTCATGTCTGTCCGTCTCCCTGAAAGAGCAGCTCGTCACTTTGAACTGCTAATTACGTTCTGGATGAAAGACTACCTCTCTGCTTGGATGGTGGGGGGCAGGGGGACAAGACTGGACGACAGGGGAAGGAAAAAAAATGACAGGAGCAAGTGTGCCCCCCGTGACCTACTAAAGTGACACATTCAATACAGCCATTGTGGAGTTTGTCTTTTACTCAACTAATAGGTTTAAGCAAGTGTAACCCTTTTTCTCAAATGCTTACACATTTGCTGTTAACTTCTGCTGAAGTCAGATGTTACACAAATAACAGAAAGGTGACACTTCCCTAGAAACATCCCCAAAGTTGTGCACCTTAGCCAGAGTGGTCCAAACTTTATCCCTAAATATAAGAAGTGCTTTTATGTACTCAGACCACATCTAAATACATTATATACGCACAGGATTTTTGAATAACCCAAAAGTTTGAAAGCACTGTCGCAATTCCAGTGGTAGGAACAACTTGACTCTTTCCCCCATTTCCTACAGAACCTTTCACTTTTTTTCAAAAGAAAATATAAAAAGGTTTGTGTATAAGTATAGATCTTCAACCTGTCAAGCGAAATGACAGTACCTCTTAGGAAATATGGTGGCTTGATAAATGACAGGCCTTTCCCGTTCCAGCTATTGTTACTAAGTCTTTCAAAATACTTTCATTTGCTCTTCAAAAATCTGAATCATCAATTACATCTAGAATTATATTAAGACACTTCCCATCTAATAGGGCCTATTTGAGTTTCTTTTTCTCTAGATCAAAACATCCAAAATGATTGTCGTGGTTAATGTCAATTCGTTCATCTAAATTCCTTGATTGTGTAGCCTTGAACCACTGAACTGCTTTCATGTACACGTGGGTTTCATTCTTGCCGGACACATCTCGTATGATCTAACACAAGGCACACTGTAAAACAGGCGCCCAGAAAGACAGCTTGACATGTAATATAATTTCTGTTTTTTTTTTTTTCTTCCATTTTCGCCCACCGCGGCACCCTAAACGATACATTGTAATTAAAGAGGACCTTTCTTTCCTAGCACTTGTCTTCCTGTTTCTCCATGGAACACACAGGAAGCAGTCTGGCACTGCTCTCCGCTTACTGTGACTGCGTCTAGCACTCTCCAGATACACTCAGGCGAAGGTATCAGACAGCTGGAACAAAGGCACGACAAATACCGCTTAACCTGCCTGGAATGCAGGCCCTATTCAGGGCTTCCCTGCACCCTAACGGTAATATATGACGTTCAAATAGGACATATTTATAAATTGACTATCTCTCCAAGAACCAGGAGCATGAATTTATCCAAAAGCAGTTATTTATCATCCTTCTTCCGTTTATCTTTTTAAATTACTTTATATATTACTTCCTCTGACTTTGAGCGGCCTGGGGCAGGGGTCACCGGTCTGAATCCACCCGGCAGCATCAGCATTACATCTCTGAAGCTCAGTGGCTTCCTGTTGTCGCTTTGTAAGGGTGTCTGACTTCTCCCACCTCATTTTGCTAGCATCACTTTACATATAGGGTTTAAGCCTAGTGTCCATTTCCAAGTCCTAAAAGACTTCTGGGTAACGGACTAATCTGAGTGTTAAAGGGAAATAGGAAAATTAAATTACTTTATTTGCCATAGTGGTTTAAGTGACAGAAGTGGTCAGCTGTTCCCAAAATAATAAATAAATATGTATATGGGAAATATAAAAATTATTATAATATGTACCAAATGCGTCAATATATTAGCCCTGATATTACACATACACACAAAAACACACATTTTCTAAATCTAAACTACTCTACAATTCCAAAAATTTATTTATTATTACATGGTGATGGCTTCGTATTTTTGTAGGACTGGTTATTCTGACAACTATGTGATTGCATTACAAAGTCTTCCTCTCTGAGTGCTGTATTAAGACGAATTTGAGAGATCAGGCACAGATATTGGCATAGCGGTGTAAAGATGTTCTAGTGCTATTTCCTTTTGTTGATGTCTCTTCTGGCCTGTCTGCAGAAAGCATTTATGGCCAGTGATTGATGCTATCTATTCAGATTGTAAGTGGTGCTTTCAAACCTCTTTTACCGCTTTTAATTCCAAATGACTGTCTCGTTTCAGCAACCCATTTCAGTTTCCACTTTTCGCCGCGACTTTAAAGTGGAGGCGCAGGGTGCACACGCGCGCGCACGTGCGCCCAGTTTGTGTGTACATGCGTGCTAGGTGCTACGTTTTCTTTTAATTATAGTGTGACTTGAGGGCAAAACGTAAAGCTCCATGCGCCTTTTTGCACAGCATCCAAAAGTGAAATGTTTATATTTTAAAATACTAGAGGCCACTTTCTGTCAAACTCACGCATGAAGTTAAGCAGTGCATGCAAATTTAATTAAACGATACGATTTTCAAAAGAGTCCAGGCGGCCGTTTTATCTTTTGTCAATTTTATCCTTTATTGGAAAGAAATAATTCAAGCTTTACAACTCATACTTATTTTACACTTCAATGATGTGTCTTCGTTAATAGTGTCACATATAAAACAACAGCAAAGCGTATGTCCAAGGAGTTTCCTAGAGAATCATCCGATCATCTGAAGAACTGGGAAACTTTAAAGGCAGATCTAAAGGAATTTCCGTTGAAAATGATAATAGCGACTAAACTTCCTTTTCATCTTCCGTGTAAAGTTTCTCTTGGGTGGAATGTAGTCATGTAATAGGCCTATTCTCAATAACGAATGAAATACAGTTTAACAAAAGGCATGACAGTGACCAAATTCATCAAATTATAATAAAGCGTCACGCGCTTCTTTTACCTGCATTTAAAAAACACCTATTTCCCAAAAGTCAAACAGAATGATCATATTAATTTTATGTTCAATTATTTATAAATTTCAGTTCAAAGACAATTTGTAATAGGCTTACTAAAATCTTGGACAGAGTATTTGGTAAATATTTTCTAATCAATTTTAATTAATTTATGCACAGTCGTCACAGTGTAACTTAAAAACTATATATGTTTCTCGGTAATGACTGTTTGAACTCGTCGGAACCCAGTTCGTGATAATTCGAATACAGCGAGATATAAAGGATGTTAACAAATAAACGCAACAAATTCCACATCAAAACGGGCAAATATAAAATTATAATGTAAATTTTAAATACAAACAATGAAACAAAAAATTGCATACACGCACCTAAACGTGATTAAATCATTTCTTTTAAATACGGAGTTCCAGGCTTACAGAAAAATTCTATATAAAGATGTGGTATTAAAACGAATCTCATTATGAACTTAAATTGAACGTGTTCAGGCTAAATTTTCCTATTCTACTGTTAGTAAATTGCATTTGATCAGTCAATAAATTGAAATACGTATTTAGCTGCACCGGGAACAGGAGTGTTAATGACTGTTATCTTATCAGAACTAGAATAGTTTGTTTCTTGAGCACAGCCATTAATGCAGGTGTTTAATGTTAATGCGTGCAATTTCCTACCCACTGTGACAGCGATGCCGATGGAGTAAATACTCTAATCTCCTCATGTTCACCTCCCATGGATAGTGTGTGTCAGACCGACAGTTCTGCAAATAACATGCTTCCAACAATAGAATAAGGAAGAATTCGTTAACTAGGTACACACACTAGACACGCCGAATACCGCTGCTTCAGCGCCCAGCGTTTAAAATATAATTATCTATATATATATATATATATATATATATATATACACACACATATATACATACATACACACATACACATACACACACTCACACACACACACACACACACACACATATATATATATAAATTTATTGTGTATTAATGCAAATATTCACGTATATTTCAGAAAGAACGCACGTGTATAATTATTTTTCTAGCCTTCATAATAGACCTGCTGTCTCCGGACCAGTGTAATAGCATTTGATTCTGTTCTCTTCGGTTAATTGGTCTATGACTGAATATATCTGAAGGTGGTTCTGACAACAGTGGCCGGCATTTCCTCCCCAAACCTACTTTAGCATAGATCTTGCAAACATTTATGTTGAAATTCGGATTTAATATTATGTCCAGCATACATCCCCGTGTTTTTTTTTCCCGTCTCCTCTGTTGTACAGTGGTCTCCTGCACAGAGCAAATAACATTTGTAAGGATGAGTTAATGGGAAACTTGTCAGGAAATCCCTGTGTGGACAATAGAATTAATCCGATTGACCTGCACAATCAGCTCTTTCGACTGACATTCTCAATTGAGTTTGGTGATTTATTTAAAGAGTCTGCTAATTGCAAGGAACTTAACTTAATTAATTCACAATTCACATATGCGCGCTTTTCACACCATCTCGCGCTAACCCCCGCAAGAGCCAATATGGTTTAGGTTGTCATCTGCAGTTCTGGCGGATGACGTCAGCCGGGTATAAAGCAGTGGAGAACTTGGGATGGACCACAAAAACAAGTGACTGTAGCGATTGATTGTACTGGAAATCGGATCAGCGAACGGGGTCGGTAAATTAATAGTTTTCTTGAAGACCATCGACCCCAGAGCAGACTTTGTTTTACACCGAGCTAACAACCGAAGTACTAACCTATTTGTGTCTTCGTATTTGTGTGTGATGCCTGCTGGCATGTTCAGCATCGACAGTATTCTGGCTGGGAGACCCAGTTGCAAGGAATCCGTAGTCCTGCATCGGAGTACTCCGGTCGTGTTTTCCAGTCTGGCTGACTCTATGTACACGGCTGCTGACTTTAACGGACTCTATTCGCATTCTTCGGGAAGCTCACCTGCAAACATTCAGCCACTTGGCGGAACGAGGATTGGGTACAACAACTATTACTACGGGCAGCTTCATGTACAGGGGCCCGGCGGCCCAGCCTGCTGCGGTGCGGTATCAGCCATCGGTTCACAGCAGTGTCCATGCATTCCAACAGGTAGGCTTTCAACTTCTTTTTTATCGCATGTCTGACGAAATCCTAAGTATTTTGCCAAGGTCAGTTGTTCTATTATTTGCGTTTGTTAAACCGACTATTAAGTTCGCGTTTTAATTTTAAAGACGTACGATAATCGCCGTCGAACGCCTCGTTTGCCTGTTAATGCTCGAAAAACTTTTCCGTCAACTTTCTAATGCACTTATGGAATTTAATGATTGCTTCGTCTATAAATGCTTTTATTGTAATATTCGATGCCACTGCTAATATTCGTTCGTTTTTTGTGCAGGTTATGAAAGTGCCGGCTCGATGCTTCTCTCACCCCTACCTCACCAGATGATGTCCTACATGAATATGGGTACCCTGTCAAGGACTGAGCTCCAGTTATTGAACCAGTTGCACTGTCGTCGGAAGAGGAGACACCGGACGATCTTCACCGATGAACAACTGGAAGCCTTGGAGAACCTTTTCCAGGAAACCAAATACCCAGATGTTGGCACAAGAGAACAGCTGGCGAGGAGAGTGCACCTTCGTGAAGAGAAAGTGGAGGTGAACATCTTAACTGTTTTCAGGATGATTATTACATACTTTGTTTCTTAGCGATCTAATAAGACCGGTGTTAAAATCCGCAAAACCGCAAATTGTCACCGACTCATACAAGTCACGACCAATAGAAAATGGCATTAAAAGTCCTGGGTGATATATAGTAACAGGCTGTTTTGCTAAATGCGCTACGTCGTTCTTATTTTTTCGACTACTGTGTGCGCATTCAGATAAAAAAATCTGCATGATAAGCAACTGTGACTCTCCACTACAGGCCTAATGTTTCCCATATGCGACAATTTCTTCCATTTAGTTTTAAACTTCGGGAAAAGTGATTTTTTTTTAACTTTACATTTTGAACCCAACTCCACGTATACGCATTTATGTAATGGTTATTATTAAAATTATTTCTGATAATACTAACAACAGGCAAGACACTTTGTGCCTATTACAATACTTTATAAAAAGACTTTAGCGGATCAGTGTTCTTACAGAAATCTAATGCAGACATGTTAAACGATATACTTTTAATTTTCCTTAGGTGTGGTTCAAAAACAGAAGGGCAAAATGGAGAAGACAGAAAAGATCATCATCGGAAGAGTCAGAAAATTTGCAAAAATGCCACAAATCATCTAAAACAGCAGGAGGGAAAAAAGATGAAGGAAAAAGTGACGTGGATTCAGATAGCTGATATTTAAATAAATCCAACAGAAAATGCCGAAGATGTGGATACGTAGTTCATGCACATTAATAGAGATACATTTTGTAGATATTGTAAATGGTTAAATACTGTGTGGAAGTACGTACTAAAATTCGTTGCGATGATGTTGCACAGATGTATAGTAAATATTACTTTTATTATTGATATTTATGTTTAATTTAAGAAAACTGTAATGCAGGAACACTCACACAAGCATCTTTATTACTGATGTGTGCATAGTTTTGAGTCTGACGTCTTTCCTCGATTAATAAATATTACATGCCATAATTGATGTATTTTTGTACGCTCAGCGCAGACTGTACAGATTCATGGAAAAAAAACGAATACGCATGCATTTCCATTTACATGGTATTTAAAGTGAAGAGAATATTGACTGGGATATTTATTTTACTTTTTATTTTTTAAAATAAGCAAGTCAAGTATGCATTCTTTAATTTCGGTCCTGGATGTAATTCGTTTTTAACTTTATATTGTAAAACCTTATTTTTCGTTAAGAATGACTAACGGAACAGTTCCACTCATTAAATGAACGATAAACGATAACGTATTTGTGTTTTATTTCATTTAAAACAATGTGTATTTTTCACCCTTTCAGTTATTAATTATAATTATACTTTTTAAGTATAGGCCACATTAAATTGCTTAAAATGCCTTGATATCATGACAGCCCCCAAATTTCGAACCTATAGGCTACTACATATTTACTTTTAAATGAATAATATTAGTAATATTTGTGCGAGAAATTATGTTTTGAAAGCGAAGCAGGTTTTATTACAAAATAAAACACTGACAACTAAAGAGAGTATTAAACATTTGAGTAAAAGTATTCACTTTTAAATTCACTCTTAAAATGAAATTAGGGTTCAGATACCTGAAATATACGCCATAGTATCATTAACAATGTCATGAATTTATAAACATGTTTATACCGAAAAATGAGGACCTCTCTCCATAATTACCTACGTGATTCCGCGTGACAACTGTGTTTCGGAATAAAATAATGGGCACCAAATAATCAAAATTATACCTGAAACGGTCTCTTTGATACCTACTGTACAATAATACATTAATCTTAAAATAGGCTATGTCGCAGTGTTTTTATTGATCATTTCACATTGACTCGTTGAACCACTACCTCCCGATAACGGCATGTATCCCATAACTAAAATATTTTACGGGATTAACGAAATTTAATTATTGTGGCTGACATTTTAACAAACAACAAAATAGAGGTCTAAATTCAAACATCTTATTTCGATTAGGCGTATTGTACATGTGTGTTTTATCATTTGCGTCAAATTAATTGAGCTATAACTGAACCCCTATAAACATGTGGATTATATCAACGACAAGTAATGGACGATGGTGATGAAATCTGAACAGAGACTGAACAATTGCCAGTTTAAGGAAACAAGTCAATACTTTCAACTGATTGAATAAAAAAGAAGTTTTCAGCCTAGGCTCTTGTCGGACAATATGTTATCATTGATAAGATCAGGACAAACTACTGCATTACTCATTCTTAAAGTAATTCATGTAAACTAGGACAAGAGTTAGACAAACAGGACGTAGTTCAAATGACAAAAAATTAAAAACGAACGCAATTCTGTACAACCAGTCAAAAGGTTCTTCAAATAAACCAATATCTATATCTGTATTTGATGCTTCCTAAGTGAACAGATTTACTATCGATCTTTTTGTTTAGAAGTCCAAAGGGAATTCTTGTTATAAAATTTAGATGAAGTGTTCGGCTAAGTGTCTGCAGTGGTAGTAGAAGCAACTGCATGAGTGAGAAGATGGGACTATTCGGATTCGATTTTGATTTGAGTGCTGTCAGATTTCAAGCTTGGATTTTAATGGGTGAGTTGGCGGGATTATGAGTGCTGCGGAATAATAACGCCTCTGATATCTCCCGCAAAGGAACAGCGGGAGTGCGCCTCAGTGAGCCCTTTTAGTTCCCGAATTTACTGTTATTCGTAATTCAAAGTTGGAATCTTAGAAAAGAAAGAATGATACGGCTCATGAAAATATTCCAGCTGCAGGCTTTGCTGCATTGGCCATACATGTCTTTATCCCTGCATATAAACAAATTGAATAAAATTTGAGGTTGGCTACAGCATTTAGGGATTCTGCTCGTTCTACCTATAGAACCAACTTTCCAGGTCAAGCCAGACAACAGCATTGGAGAGAGTTTGATAGTGGAGTGGACAAAACTTAATAATTTAAATAGAAAACTCTACTCTTTATTGTGGGGGAGGGATTGGGTATGAATGAATCCAAATTAAATATTGGGAGGGGGGGAGAGTTAAACCGACCCCCCAACCCCCCCACCACCACTTAGGGACATAAAACTTAACAGGTGTGTTATTTTTTTCCCTTTGGGGAAAATATCTCTGGTCGTCAAATGAACCAAATCACTGACTGGTCACTGTATTTGTATCATGTTTTTGTATAGGGCTGCATTTATGTCTGAATACGTCTCTGTGGATACATTGATCACTATGAAGACAGCCATAGAACAAATACATGCTACAAAATAAATAAATAGAATGTTACAGGTACTCATCATGAAAGGCTTCTGGGAGGGGGGGGGGGGGGGGGGTGGCTAGCTACAAAAATGTTTTAAAGAACTGTCATTTAATTGGTCCTATAAAAGACTCAAGGAAAGTTCATTTAACGTGATAGTTGCTTTGAACCATCTGTTTATGTAATGAACTTTACACACACACAATATGTAGTCACATGTTTGTGGTTTATACCAGGAAAACAGTATTCTTCAGAACTGCACTGCATTTGCATTATGTAAGCAAACAAGTAAATATATACATTCTCAGCAATAGTCCAATCCGTTGACTATTCAACTTTGAGGTTTTTTTCTTCTAAATTTAAACAACATTTTATGTCATTCACAAAGATGATGTCTTAAGCAAATCCATCCATCCATCCATCCATATTCCAACCTTCCTTAAGCAAATGCAAAATAAAGCCAGAGGATACCAGGTACAATATATTGAAATTAGCCAGATACTGTGTGGATATTTGCAAAATGCTTTCAGAAGTTTTCAATATTTTTTGTATGCCAACCTGCTAACAGATGGTACAAAACTGAAGCAAATTTATTCAGGACGCTGAAAAAAATGGAAATGACCAAACAATAATGTAAATGGAACTTGACAAACTGAAGGCGAAAGAGCCTCGTCCCATGGATGCCCTTGACAGCAGGTTCCTTGTGCTTCTCACTGTGGATTGATATATTTCAGAGGTAATTCTGAACCCTGAGGTATATGCGCTCACACGCAGCACATTTTCAAAGGCCCTACAGCATCTAAAGTTCCCCGCCTTCCAAACCTGCTTCTAAGAGAAGCCTACGCAGTCACTGGAGCGGCTGGCGGTGTGTCTGACAGCTGTACCCGCTTAATTGTGCTGCTTGCGTCTGTCAGGCCCCAAAACTAATTCTGCATTGTAAATTGAACCCGTCAGGTGTTTCCATGACAGACAACATGGACGAAAAACATAATTTCTTTCAAATTGAGCCCAAAATGTGCCCTCGCTGGTTGCAGCTGCTTTTGCATTAATTTTGAGTCAAATAAAGGCAATGGACAATTGTAAGAAAAATAGCATTCATGCTGTGACGGCCATGTCTGTTAAAGTGCCCCACATGTCAGATGGCAAATGAGCCATTAGATGGCGGTAATGAACATTGCTGAGCGGGCGGAAGGTGAATCTACATGACGGTCGACCAGCATCGAGCGCTAAGCATCTCAGTGAGGCTATCCCTCGCGCCACGTGTTTACAGGTCACATTACAGCAGGTTCTGTGCACACTCGGCCATAAACACAGTCTGTTCAGGGACATGTTTATTGTCACGGATAATGTTCACTTTTCCTAATACTGGTAAATTGGGTTTTCCTGGCACAAGAGTGTCTGCGGGAATATCTACTAAACGATTTGCAGCAATACGCATGCTGTATTAAATAAAACCCGACTGGCTAGTCAGTACTATGGCACAGATACTAAATGCAAAATAAAATGAACATTGCAGTATTTAAATAATAATTGTCAATACAAAAGACCGTAGTTTGATCTCCACAGGAGCGACACAAGACACAGTAGCTCCATTCTCATATATATATATATATATATATATATATATATGATTAAAATATATATATGATTAAAATAGATATTAAGATGTATTAAACTGGGCAGGTCAGACACGTTTAGACTTGGCAAGCATAACACACCGATACACGTAACACCTAGTCCTAATAATCCATCATGTATCTAGTCCTGATTTATATGGTGTTTCAATGCTGAGAGGCCCTGCAATGCACATAATATGGTGCCAATTAACATTATACATGGATGGATATGACACACACGTATTATAAACACACACACGTATTATAAACAGACACACACGTAATATCTATTTTTTTCGTCGGGTTTATGTTTGATTTTCTTTTTAAAAAAAAAAAAAAAAAAAAAAAACTTTAGCCCCTTGACCCATTTTATACATAGTTCCCAGCACTTGGAAAAACACACACTGAGTCCAAGAAAAATGAGGTATAGAGTTAACCCCAGGAGTAGATAAATCTTTGCTCCCTACAAGCATTTTAAGGCAAATTCTTGTTGCTGTTTTAAAAATCCATCGGTGGATATGGTGGATATTTCGGAGCCCATTGCTCCGGTGACATCCAGCCCAGCGCTCGTCGCCGACGATTTTACCACTAAGCGCACTTATACAGATCGACGCGGCTGCGGCCTTTCCATTAACCACTTTGAGAAATGCATTAAAAACAGAAAAAGAACGGAATTAAGTAAGGACAAATAACCCATATTTTCGCAGGAGTAAACATTCCTGTGTATCATTATCGCATTTCGTCGCCACGAAGTGCGGTCGCGCGTTTGTTTTCTTTAGTCGCAGCCTGTCTCCCAGTGAAAGCAAATTCCTCTACATCCCTTTTTTTATGGGCACGTCAGGCTGGCTGCATTCACCTCCCAGACTGGAGATGATAAATAAATAGAGTTACAGAGTCAAAACTTTAGTCCGCTGCACCAAGAACCGCACTTCTCTGGTTGCTTCCCTAGTTCTGCAGCTTAGGAAAGGTGAAGCCGCCGGCTGTCAAACCACAGCTGCTGTCACTGAAGGCCACACGGAGGTGTGCTATATAAATGCTTGCATTTTTTTACTTACTGGTATTTTATATTCATTTTGTTCTGATCTATGCCGACTTGAGAAAGCTACATACAAACAGTGCATTTTTTCCACATAACCTTTACATTGCAGGTTCATAAGTTCATTCAACCCAATGTTACTGCCACTAGGGGGAGCTCTGAGCGCTGAGAGAAGCGGTGACGGTAAAGCAAGATGTCTGCCTTAAGTCGGACCACGTCGGGAATGTCGCAGGTTGGTGGGGAGGGTAAATACCGAATAACATTTACACAGTGATATGCAGAAAAACCTGAGAAATACAAAATAATACTTTCTTCTACACACAATAATATGACATATCTATCTCTGTTGCAAAC